CTTTATTGGTATAGTACTGGGGAGTTAACCTACAACCTCATGCGTTATAGGCAAGCACTTTACCAATAAATTGAAATCTCAGCTCAAACAAATTTTTTTAAATTTTTTATTTTTATCTTATGCACATTGGTATTTTACCTATATATGTGTCCTGTGTTAAGGTGTCGGATCCCTTGGAATGGGAGTTATAGTTATCAGCTGCCATTTGGGTGCTGGGAATTGAACTCTGTAAGAACACTTAGTGCTCTTAACTGCTGAGCCATCTCTCCAGCCCCAACATTAACCATCTTAATTCCAAATTAACCAAATAAGTTGCATATTTAATGTAATTGTTGAACTTCAAGTATATAAAAATCAAGCTAGGGTATAATAGCTCAGTGGTAGAGCAAGGCCCTGTGTATGATCCTCAGCACTGCAAAAGAAATAAAAATCTAAACTATTTGCAATACAAAAGTTATGTTTTTAAATGAGAGGTAAAAGACAGTCTTTTTTCTTCTACACTTAAAGTACTGGAGGGCTGAGGTTGTGGCTCTGAGTGAGAACACACAATTAGTGCAGGTAAGGGCCAGGCCCTAAGAGCATTTTTTCCAACTACAGTTCCAAGTGATACTGGCACCGCAAAGCTTGCACCACACCGTGCACATCCCTATTTTGATACACAGTGCAATTTAACCTTTTAAAGACCTTTTTCCCTACTGAATTTACTACAAGGTCTCTAAATTGTAGAACATTACCCTAGAATCGCAAATTAAGCATTTCTTAAAAGTTGTTTTCTCATATACAAAACATATGTGAACCTAAGTCAAACTAAATATTGTGAAGGCTATTCCAATTCTAGATCCAAAACTTTGATTTTAAAAAATTAATTATGGGCTGAGCACTAGTGATGTGTGCTTTGATCCTAGGCACTTGGGAAGCAGAGGCCAGTGGATCTCTGAGTCTGAGGTCTGGTCTACAGAGCAAGTTACAAGACAGCCAAACAAAGTTACATAGAAAAACACTGCCTCAGCTGGGTAGTGGTAGCGCATGCCTTAAATCCCAGCACTTGAGAGGCAGAGATAGGCAGATCTCTGAGTACGAGGCCAGGCTGGTCTACAAGTGTTAGTTCCAAGACAGGCTCCAAAACTATGGAGAAACCCTGTCTCGGAAAACCAAAAAAGAAAAACACTGTCTCAAAAAATAAACAAACAAACAAACAAAAAAAAACAACCAACATGATTCCTCCTACTAGCCTGCCTTGTTCAGCCTTGATATGAGCTATGTGCCTCTTCTTATAACTTGGTATGTGATGTATGGTTGATATCCCTGGGAGGCCTGTCTTTCCTGAAGGAAAATGGAGAAGTAGATCTGGGGGTGAGGGACTGGGAGGAGAAAAAAGAAGGGAAAGAGTGGTTGGGATATAATATATGAGAGAAAAGGAAAAAAAAACAATAGTGATAATTAAGGTGTCAATAATTTTGTTTCATCTCAAGTAAACTAGCCTATCCTATAGATTACATTAAGTTCAAGTCAGGTAGATTACACAGTGCACATAAGGCTAATCAATTATAGGTATCTAAGAAAATAAGCTTTGGCAATAAGTTGAAATAGCCTTCAAAGCAATTTCATGTGGTTATAAGGAACAGTTCAACGTTCAGCTGTATAGAATACCAATTTCCTTCACCAGGTAGCCATACATACACCTGGGACAGCAGTCAGAATAAAAACTCACACAGGGCACTGTCTCGCTTCCCTTTTTTCTTCATGGCATCTGTGTGGCTAAGAGGACAAGACCTAACACAGTACCAGGCTGTCCTGATTTTACTTACAAAGAATACTCAAAGCCTTGCTACTCTTTTCATCCTGGGATCACTGAGAGGGTAACTTCTTACACACAGCTTCTATTTCGTTATTTTTTTCACAAACTCTGAAAACTTCATACATTACATAGCATATTCTGATCACATCCACTCCTCATTCCCTGTGTTCAACGTTCCTTTTAGTTTCTCCCAAGATGTACTGTCCTTAATCTCTACCTTCAAACAAGGCTGCCCAGTCAGGCATGGTGACACATTTACATCCCAGAACTTAAGGGGCAGAGGAGAGGGAACTCTTTTGAGTTCAATGCCAACCTTGTCTATATAGTGAGTTCTTAGCCATGGATACATAGTTATAGTCTGTCTCAAACAAACAACAATGTTCCAGTAATGAACAAAAAAATAAATTTAAAAAAAGTAAAGGAAACTTTTAAAGATCACTTTTAAGTTTTCCATCTCAGTCCAGATATGGTGGCATTTTATCTCCAAACATGGGAGGCAGACACAGGTTCATCTTTGTGAGTTCAAGATAGCCTGGTCTACACGGAACACCAGAGGCCAGCCAGGGCTACATAATGAGACCCTGTTTTTAAAAAAAGTTTTCTACTTCACTGTCACTTCCCCTTAAATTTTGAAATCTCTACTTGCTTTTCATTCTATGCCTACACTCTGCAAAATTGTCATTTGAGCTTAACACTAACAGGACTTACGTCTCATGGGTTCCAAAAAAGAAAATTGGTAGTTTGTTTGTGGGTGGTTTCACAGCTCCATCAGGAACTTCATCTACCTAAAAGAAAGATCAGAAAAGGTAAAGCTTTTTTAAATCTTACACACCCTGCCACACACGTATGAACTCATAGAATAAGACACCCCAAATGGATCTGATAAAAAATTGATTCATTTTACAAATCCACTCAAGTAAGTTCTAAAGGCAAGATTATTTTTCCTAGAACTCATTTGGTGGTAAAACCTGTACTGACACCAAAATCCTTTTTTTTTCATACATTTAACAGTTTTATCCTTGTTTGGAAAAATACTAAGGTTATCATGTGCTTACTAAATCATCCCAGCAGCAAATCTTTTGCTTTGTTTTCTGAGACAGGGTACTTAGGATCAGAACATGATAGATAATACTTAAAAGAATTTTGATTAGATAAACTCAAAATCATTTAAAAAATAAACTGTGATGTTCTGAAATTGTAATTATTTTTCATACAAATTGTTTTTATTTCTTTTTCCAGTTTCTCTATGTAGCCTTGACTATCTTTGAAGTGAGAAATCTGCCTCTGCCTCCCAAGTGCTAGGTTTAAAGGCTATGCCACCACTGTCAGGCCCAGCAGCAAATCTTAAAGCAGTGTACAATTAGCTTTCTAAAATCCCCAATTACTTCATTTTCAGAACACATCTGACACCAAGCATTTCATACAGGAGTCTCCACCTGCTGTGCAATTCTGCAGGAGGGCTCTACAAACAGTAAGTAATGTGAGGCTAGAGAAATGGCTCCGTGGTTAAGAGTACTTGCAACTCTTCCAAAGATCCAGTTCAGCTCCTAACTCCCAAGCCAAGCCCCTTACAACCACTTCTTCTAGGGTCCATCACCCTCTTCTGGCCTCCTCAGGTACTCGCATACACATGACACACAAACTTACACACCGAAATAATTAAAAAAAAAAAAAAAGTAATATAAAAGCAGACCGAAACAAAAGCTTAAAGCACTAGTTTCCCATGTCTGAATAACAGTAAGGGTCAGAGCTCCAGGCCTGTGGTGGAGCATCACTTCAATCCAGGACAGCCGGAGTTGTTAAACAGAGAGACCCCGTCTCAAATGACAAACCAGCCGACAAGCAAGCAAGCAAACCAAAAAACAAACTGAGCTGCTTCTAAGAAAAATGGGGGGGGGGGGGGGGTAAAAACATCCTATTCCAATCCAAATGAACTCCTTAGCTGGAGTGATGGCTCAACAGTTAAGAGTACTTGCTGATCTTCCAGAGGATCCAAGTTCAATTCCTAGTATCCACATAGCAGCTCTGAAGTGTCTGAAACTTCAGTTTCAGGGATCAAACAATCTTTTGCACAAGGCACAAGTCATGGAGGTGGTGTACATATATATACGAAGGCAAAACATCCGTAAACAAAGATTTCTAAAATAATTATTTTTTCAACTGGCAGTGATGGCGCACACCTTTAATCCCAGCACTTGGGAGGCAGAGGCAGGCAGATCTATGAGTTCAAGATCAGCTGGGCCTGAAGAGCAAGTTCCAGGACAAAGAGAGCTACAGGGAGAAGTACTGTCTTGAAAGAAACAAGTTAATTTAGAGTGAGTTCCAGAACAGCCAGGGCTGCACAGAGAAACTTTGTCTCAAAAAAAAAAAAAAAAAAAATGAGCTGGATGAAGAATAATTAAAATTTCAGAACATCAGTTTATTTTCTAAAAAATTATGAGTTTATCTAATCAAAATTCTTTATCATGTTCTAATCCTAGGCACCATTATAAACTAGAAAAAAAATCACTTTTTTTCCTGAAAATGGAGCTTGGGTTTTTCATATCACATCTTGAGTCCTTAAGACTTCTCAGGTTTCCTTAACCCAGGGTACCGTCTACACCCTCCCCCTTCCCTGTGGGGAACAAAAAACCATAAAACAACTTCAAGGTCATAAGACAAGGAATGTGAATTAAAAGGCCCAAGTGCATCACCAACTGCAAATCCTATATTAAACATGTCTAAATCTAGTTTAATCACATCTGACATACAAGGGTTTGTAGTTTGCATATTTCGTTGATGATTTGTATTTTATTCAAAATTCCAAAATTTAAGGAAATGTCATTTTTAAACATAAAGATCATACTTGTTGATTTCGCCTACAATGGAACATTAGCTGAATGTCATCTCTAAATATTTCCTATAAAGAACACCTGTCAGACTCAAAAGCAAGCCACAGGGAAAGCGCGGGTATGCAGAAAAGCCGACAATTTTACAATTGCACGGGAAGAGTGCTGAAAAAAACTAAAATGAAAGGATCCAAGTAACGGTAAAGGGAAGCGAGGGAGAGGAAGCGGAGAAGAAACGATGGGAAGTAGGCCTCTGGAAAGGTTGCCGCACCGCACCGCTCCACCGGGGCTACAAATCACTTACTCGAGCTGGCCAATGAGGATAACCTTTCATCTTGGCGAAGATGAGGTCTCCAGGTTTGAAATCGCGAGTCATGTTGGAGGGGCGACGCCGGGAGTCCCAAGACCAGAAGGGGGAGCAGCGCAGCCGCGGTCGGGAGATGCAAGCGCGGACACGAGCTGGGACTGGCGGGCCCGCGGGCGGGGGAGGATGCCTCGGGGTGTCCCGACGAGCCTGCGAGGGACAGCAGGGAGGGCGGTTAAAGCGCAAACCCCAGGGAGGGGCCGCGGGGAGGAGGCCAGGGGGAGGGGAGGCCGCGGAGGGGGAGGGGGAGCCGCCTGCGCGCGGCCTCGGTCCCGAGCAGCGTCCGGGCCTGTGGCCGCCGCCACCTAAGGCAGCATCACCGCCCGCCACCCGGCCGCCCGCCTCTCCACCCCATCGCTGCCAGCGCTTTTCCCACGGGCCGCAGCCCACGAGGGAGGGGCGCGGCGGGAGAGGGGAGGGAGGCAGCTAGCGCGGCCGCCCGCTTCCCACCCGCGCTGAGCGGGGGCGGGGCGGCCCTCACCTGCCGGGCGGCGACGCTGGGGCTGCGGGGCGCGCTGGCCGCCTGTGCCCACGTCCACGCCGGCCACCTGCACCACCAGCTGCCGCAGAGGCGTCTCAACGGCTCCGAGCTGCAACCGCCACCGCCACCGCCACCGCCGCCGCCGTCGCTGCGCCGCTCCCGCGCGGCTCCCGCTCGGCGCCCGCTAGCGCTGGGCCGTACCAACTGCTCGCCCAGATGGGGGTGGCGCGGCGACTGGCGAGGGTCGTGGCTCGGAAGCGGAGCTCTTGGAGACGCGAGGGCCCACAGGTGCCCCTGCTTACAAGAAACAGCAGCCAGGTGCCGTGGGACCAGAGGGACGGGAAGGGCCTCCGGGGAGGCGGGCCGGAACTGATTGTCTCCCACCCCCGCGGCTGGCACAGTGGTCGCGCCCGGCCCGCCCCTGCTGGCTGCTCTGCGTGTGTGTATTTGTATGTGTACTGTATGTAAAAGGCGGGGAGGGAGGAAACGATTGTTGTGAACCCCGTTTGGGGGCGGGTATTCGGGCCTGTAGCCCTTGGCTACATGTTTAAGAAAAACTGGCAGTTCGAGGTGATTGTTCTCGCCTCCTCCTCCAAGGTGGTGGTACTGTAATGCTCCTGCGCGGTTTACATCATCCAAAAAAAAAAAAAAAAAAGAGGAGCTGTGCAAAAACCCAGAGATCAAATTGGGCTATGAAGCAGTTGCAGGGTGTGCACCTTTTAGGCCTCTTCAACATCGCAGAATGGGCTTTGCAGTCTTCGTTTCCTTGGGACTGTAACGTGAGAAAGCCTTATTTCATTTCTTTACCATTTCAGCCACGGAGAACCGTTAAGAAAAATGCAATCCCAGTGGATGCAAAACGTGAAAGGTACAAAACAATGACACGGAAAGCGCAGTTAGCTTGTTAGGATATGGATTTGGGCCTAAACTAAATTTAAAATTTTATTTCCTTAGGAGAGTGGTGGCTAATAGGTGGTACAAGAGACAAGTCTTACAAACACCTACATATTCACCTCTTAAAGCGTTTTTAAAGGTGATGTTATTTTTGATCCTTTAGCCAATGCATGTTTTTAATATTTTGTAACATACCTAGCTTGCTGATGTGGATTGACACTTCATGATTTTTACTGTACCAGAACTGTCTAATTTTTCTTATCCATTAACACCCTGGTTTTCAACAAATATGTGGTACAGTAGAAGACATTTTTCTTTCATCCTTCATTGATTCTCCCCAAAATGCTGTTTATAATGAAGCACTGTTTGATATTGAAAATACCTACGTTAACAAGATCAGATATTTCCTATATAAGAGAGGCTAGAAAAGTTAATGACATGAAAAATATTAAAACGTGTAAGTATTTATGCCTATCTAATACTGCTTTAAATAAAGACTCGCAGCTGAGAATAAATTCGAAAAGGCTTTGTTTGAATAGCAAAAATTGTGGGATTTTATTTTTTTAAAGGAATATTTCATGCCTTTAAAAGGAAATACGGCATCCAAATGTTAAATTACTGCAAGGAGGCAACTGTGGAGCTGCATTAGTCAGAGGGTTCCGTGTGGAGCTAAAAGAAATAACGGGAAATATTGGTGGCATGTCATCAAGCTTATTGTTCTGAACTTGATATTGTGTTTAGGGGGCTATCCAAAGTTGCACAGCAAGAAGGAGGTAAAACTGATTCTTTAAAAGTGGATTATTGCCAGGTGGTGGTGGCACCCACCTCTAGTCCCAACGCTGGGGAGGCAGAAGCAGGTGGAGCTCTGTGAGTTCAAGGCCAGCCAGGTCTAAAGAGCTAAATCCAGGACAGCCAGAGTTAGACAGGGAAAACATGGCTTGAAAGAAAAAAAAAAAAAAAAAAACCACAAAACTGGATTACTGATGTCTCGGTGTAGATGTGAGCAGAAACAGACCCTGTTATGTGTCATTGTTGATTAAGAAGGGAAGAAAAAAAAAAGCACAACTAAGCGATTATCAAAACAACTGTCAGGTGTGAGTGTAAATCATGGACCTGGAAAGAGATGGAAAAATGTCTGATCCTAAGTAACAAGTATCAAAGCAGCACCCAGCCATTGTCCTCAGTGCTACAGGGCCTTGAAACTGCAATTGTCCTCAGGCCCTGCAGCCTGGGCTTCACCTGAGGGCTTGCTAGCAGTTTTACCACCCCCATCTACTAATCTGCATTTTAACAAAAGCCCCAGATTTTTTTGTTTTGCTTTGTTTCTTCACCTGAGAACTAGATAGCAGTTTAACCTCCCAGATCTACTAATCTGCATTTTTAACAAGATCCCCAGGTTTGGGTTTTTTGTTGTTGTTGTTTTGTTTTGTTATTGGGTTTTTGTTTGGGGTTTTTTGTTTTTTTATTGTGGTAGAGGCACTGCCTATGGAGACCAGGGGCCACCATGTGCAAGCAGGTTTCTTCCTTCCACTATGTGGGTCCCAAGATTAAACTCGGGTTTTCCAGGTTTGGCAACAGGGGCCCTTACCTACTGAGTCACCTTGCTGCCCCCTTCCATCCTTGGTGACCTTTATGAATATTCAAGTTGCAGAGAAAGTTTACAATCCACTGGAAGTCCTCACGGTGGTGATGGCTATAATCCACAGGAGCAGTAAAACTCAGGCTGGAGGATGAGAAATTAGAGGCCAACCTGTAGGCAAAGCCTTTTCTGAAAGACACACACAGAGAAAGACTATCAGATGAAGGTATATATTGCTTTTAAAAGATACCTTTGTGTTAGTGCTAAATGGCCATGCCAACAAGTAAAGGAGGTGGTTATTGCTAGTAGGGATAATCAGGAATAAAAAAAAAAATGAAAAGAGACATGCACTTGATGTACGAGTGTTGAACCAGTATGATACTTACACTCATTAGGGGCACATTTTGGCAATTTTAGCTAGCAGTAGTCTGAACACAACAGGTGACACCTTTTAAACAACAAATCAAAGCAAAACAGGTGGTGGTTTAAGCCTCCAGAGAACAAAGGGCCATAATCCCTGGCAACAACGGTTCTGAATCTAAGTGGGAGGGGAAAAGAGGGGGGAAAACGGAAAAAGGAGGAGGGGAGGTGGGAATGGAAATGGCTGGGTGTGTGAAAGCCCCTGGCCGAGCTTTGCTCCTCCCACCACAGGAGAAAGAGTACACTTCCCAAAACTGTAACCAGCTAGCCAAAGAGAGCAGCAAATCTCAGTGTGTCTGGACAAAACACAAGCACCATCTTCCCATTCTGCACATGAGAAAGCAGGCTCATAGAAGATGAGCAACTTGCCCAAGTACACTTGCCATCAAGGACCCCAACCAACTTCCAGCCTTTGTGCTCCCTGGTCTGCGCCATTTTGTAATTTCACAAGCGCTCTAGGTTGTGCGGGAAGGCTGGAGGTTGCAGAAGGCTGAGAGTGGCTCATAATTAGAGAAAGATGCTGGAAGTAGAGGCAGCCCGGTTCCCTTAGCCCAGCTTCAATTCCCTAACAATTTCCCCACCCACCCCATGGCCCGGATGATCTTCCGTTTAACTCTTTCTGGGCCTGAGTAACTCAATCCAAAAATCACACCTAACTATCATCTTCTAGTGCCTCACTTTCTTACAATCTTCCTAGTTTTTAAACTACTTAGAACCAACTATCCTCATAGGTGCCTGTATTTTGCAGGTACTCAACACCGAACGAACAGTAAAGGGAGCTCACTGACTCGGGACTGACAGCGGCAGAAACACCATAGGACCAAACTAGGCCCTCTAAATATAGGTGACAGTTGTGTAGCTGGAGCAGTCTCTGGGGCCACTGGCAGTAGGACCAGGATTTATCCCTAGTGCTTGTACTGGCTTTTTGGAGCCCATTCTCTTTGAAGGGATACCTTGCACAGCCAAGATACAGTGGGGAGGGCCTTGGTCCTGCCTCAAAGTGATATGCTAGATAGACTTTGTTGACTCCCATGGGAAGCCTTACCCTCTTTAAGGCATGAATGGGGAATGGTGTGGGGGGGAAAGGTGGGAGGAGCAGAAGGGGAAGGAGTGGGAACTGGGATTGGTATGTAAAATGAAAAATGATTGCTTTTAAAAAATACACACTGGGGGCTGCAAAGATGGCTCAGCGGTTAAGAGCACTGACTGCTCTTCCAGAGGACCCGGGTTCGATTCCCAGCACCCACATGGCAGCTCACAACTGTCTGAAAATGCAGTTCCATGAGATCTGACACCTTCACACCAACAAACATAATAAAGTTAAGTAAATAAATTAAAAAAAAGTTTAAAAAAATAAATAAATAAATAAAAAATACACACTATTTTAAAAATAAAGTAAGATCTAAAATATTTTAATAGCTTTTCTTTCTAAATGAAATTTGATGCTTATTAGAAAAAAATATTCCTTCATACTTTCCCACAGTTCTGTCTTACTAACCAACCTTATACTTAATAGTCATTACTGACCTGTTTTATTATTATTAATCCAAAGATGCAAGAAGATAGACCACCGACTCAAATCATCATGGCCAAATTAATTAAAGCAAGCTTTTTGTTTGTTTGGCTTTGGTTTTTGTTTTGTTTTGTTTTCTAGATAGGGTTTCTCTGTAGTACTGGCTCCTGGCTGTCCTGGAACTGGCTATGTATATAGACCAGGCTGACCTCAAACTCACAAAAATATGCCTAGTTCTGCTTCCTGAGTGCTGGTGATTTAAGGAGTGCACCATCCCCGGCTGGTGTGGATTTTTGCTCTTACTTTTTAAATGTAAATATATCTGACTTGTTATCATGTTTTCCACAGTGATTAGTAGAAAATTTTGGTTTAGCGGGGCAATGATGGCACATGGCTTTAATCCCAGCATTCAGGAGGCAGAGGCAGGCAGATCGCTGTGAGTTTGAGGCCAGCCTAATCTATCTGAACTATCCAGAACAGGCTCCAAAACTACAGAGAAACCCTGTCTAGAAAAAAAAAAAAAAAAAAAAGGAAGGAAGAAAGAAAGAGAAAGAAAAAAGGAAAGAAAAAAGAATTTTGGCTTAAATATATCTTTTTAAGATTTATTAACCTAGAATAACATGAAAATTAAGGGCTTTTGAAAAATTGAGTTCATGTACAGACTGGAAAATGCAAAGTAGTTGATTTTTAAATTTTCTGTGTATATTCATTACTCTGCTGGGACTGAGGGGTAGCTCCATAGACAAAGTACTTGCTGTGCAAATGAGAACATGATTTCAACCCCAGAACCCACGGGAGAAAAAGCCAGCAAGGATGGCACATGGGTGTGTTGCCAGTGCTGGGAGGGAGCAGAGCATCCCTGGGACTAACCTAGCCTATTTAGAGAAAAGGCCAGCAAGAGAGTTTGTCTCCAAAAATAAGGTGCATATAACTAGGCAGTGATGGCACACACTTTTATCCCAGCACCTGAGAGCCAGAGGCAGAGGGATCTCTGCATTCAAAGTCAACCTGTTCTGCAGACCAATCTGAATTCAAGTCAGCCTGTTCTACAGAGAGAGAGTTCCAGGACAGCCAGGACTACATAGAGAAACCCTGTCTCTAACAAAACAAAAAATAAAAATAAATAAATAAAATAATATAAAAAAATAAAGTACATGGTTCCTAAGGAATGACACTCAGGGCTGACCCCTCGGGCCTCCACATGCACATCCACACACATGCTTGTGCAGCACTTCACACACACACACACACACACACACACACAGAGAGAGAGAATCATGCTTCTTCAATTTACATTAGCATAGTTTTTTTTCTCTTTTCCTGTCCTTTTCTTCACTCCTGATCCCTTCCTTCCTTTCTCTCTTCCTATTTTACAGGTCCACTCCTCCTGCTAGACATGTGCCAAGGCCAAATGGCGGAGGGCTTTCCAGTTATGCCAGCCCCTGTACCAGCTCTGAGGACACCAAGCTAGGATACCAACTGGGCAAGGACTAGCAGGTTGACTTCACCCACATGCCCACTCTTAAAAAGCTCCATTATCTCTTGTTGACACCTTTAGGATGGATGGAGGCGTTTCCCATCTCCAGAGAAACAGCAGAAGTGGTGGTGCAGCCCGGTGGTGGTGGCGCACGCCTTTAATCCCAGCACTCGGGAGACAGACGCAGGCGGATGTCTGTGAGTTCGAGACCAGCCTGGTCTACAAGAGCTAGTTCCAGGACAGTCTCCAAAACCACAGAGAAACCCTGTCTCAAAAAAAACAAAAGAAGAAGAAGAAGAAGAAGAAGAAGAAGAAGAAGAAGAAGAAGAAGAAGTAGTAGTGATGATGCAGTTACTCCTGGAACACATCATCCCCAATTTGGCATGCCATGCCCTCGCAAGCTCCTAGGACATCAGCGCTGGTACCACATCTCCAGGCTCAAGTGGGCACCTATCCAGGATAAATGGTCTGTCCTACAACTGGGACCCTCTGCTTTCTGGTTTTTCAAAATGTCCCGATAAAGAGCATATATGCTCTTGTGTCTTGCTCGTTCATCTTTGTCATTCAACTTTGCCTCTTCTGTACAACCAGGGCATGTCTCCGCTTCATTCTTCCCGGCAATCTCCACTCTTCCCATGGCTAGCCTCATTCATAGGGCTGTGATAATAACCATTTTTTTTCTTTCTTCTCCTAGCAACTTGCCTTCTCTGCTTCCTCAAGAAACAAATTCCTGAGGTCTCCAGGATGGCAGTTAACTGAATGCTTCTTCACCCATACCTCCGGCTGAGCCTAAGTCCACTGACTCCCTACTCCCTGTCACCATGTAGTCCTATACCAACAGGTAGTAAGCAGACTTGAACCATCACCCATTTATCCAAGAAGGTTGGGGTGCTCTGCTCCTCCCTCTCCGGACCCTGCCCACTCAGAAAGACTGCCTAAAGCCCAGGCTCCTTCCCTGAAGCTCAAGATCTCACCCACAGGGAGTTAAGCCCTGGTCCTTGGACCTGCACAGGGATTTCTCTTCTGCTCACTTTCCCGACAGTCACTTGAGGAATTGCTTTCCTCAGATTAAACCTGGTCTTTTAACTTGGCTTGATCTGGCTTACTATGTTGTCAGAGAAACTTACCAGGATCCAAAATTACCTGTCACTTCCCTCCTGTCTTTCTTCCTTTTCTGTTTTTTTTTTTTTTTGAGACAAGGTCTCAGGTAGCTTTTGTGAGCAGCTGACGGCTGCGCCTCTTGCCTCAGCCTCCAGGATTACAGGTGCACACCGCCACATACGTACAGCATCATCTGTGTAGCTTTTTAAACATACTCTGTAAACATTTGTTTGGAGATTTTTGTTTTGTTTGTTTTGCTTTAAATTGGCCTGAAGTGGTGGCACACCTTCAATACCAGCAGCGGGGAGGCAGAGGCAGGAAGACCTCTGTGAGTTCATGGCCATACTGATGTACACAGCAAATTCCACATGGCCACACTGGTCATCCAAAGCTACACAGTGAGATCCTGTCTCAAAAATTTTTTTAGGGCTGGAGAGATGGCTCAGCGGTTCAGAGCACTGACTGTTCTTCCAGAGGACCTGAGTTCAATTCCCAGCAACCACGTGGTGGCTCACAACCATCTGTAATGAGATCTGGCGCCCTCTGGCCTGCAGGCATACGTGGAGGCAGACTTTCTATACATAATAAATAAATAAAATCTTTAAAATTTTTTTATTATATTCTTATTTACTTATTAGTATGTGTTCTCTGGCACAGTGTGGATGTTAAAGAACAATTCCATGTACCATGTGCGTCCCAGGGATCAGTTGAGGTTGTTATTATAGTTTAATTGCAGAAGGTAACCTTGGTGGGTTGGAGACAAGGAGTCATACCGTGCAACAGAGCTCACATAGGATGTTTATTGCATGTGTGCGTGTGTGTGTGTGTGTGCGCGCGTGCATGCAGAGGTGACCTCCAAGTAAGAGCAGAAGGAAGGAAGAGTGGAGCCACACGGGCTTGCTTTTTTTAACTAGGGGATATAGCGCATGCGCATAGAGAGCATGCACAGTGCCACATCTTGGCAGCTGCTGCTGACACATCCTGCTAGGTCCCTGAGAGCAGGCTAGTGTAAATGCCTGAATGCTAACAGTTGTCTCTGCTATTAGGCTTGGTGGCAAGTGCTTTTACCCAATGAGACATCTCACCAGCCCCATTAGATGGGTTCTTAAAAAGGAGAGCAAATGGAGGATGGAACTTGGGAGGGCTTGAAGTGAGAAAAAGGAAGGGGGAAATTATATAATTATATTAATTTCAAAAAAAAATGTATTTAAAATTTTTTTAAAATATATATTAAGTGGAGCTCATTTAGGTGATCTATATTTTTTCTTTTATCTATTTATTTATTTTTCCAAGATAGGGTTTCTCTGTTGCTTTGGAGCCTGTCCTGGAACTTGCTCTTGTAGACCAGGCTGGCCTCGAACTCACAGAGATCTGCCTGCCTCTGCCTTCTGAGTGCTGGGATTTAAGGCATGTGCCCCATCACTCCCACCCAGCAAAGTGATCCATATTCTTTACTGAATTTGGGTGTTTTGCATTTTATAATCAGATTGGTGGGGTTTGTTTGTTTGTTTGCTTTATTTACTTATTTATTTTTTAATATGTATGAGTGATTTGCCTGAGTGTATGTGTACTACCTATGTGCTTGGTACCCATGGAAATCAGAAGAGGGTTTCAGGTCCTGGAACTGGAGTTACAGATGGTTGTAAACTACCATGTAGATGCTAGGATTCAAACTTGAGTTCTCTTCAGGAGCAGCGAGTGTTCTTAACCACCAAGCCATCTTGCCAGCCCCATTGCATGGGTTTTTAAATCTGCATTTGTATGGGTGATAATAAAGTATAGACTTTTCCTCATGTTTTTTTAACTAGCATGCTATTAATACAAAAAGTGAATTTTATTGCCATTTTTACATATGTAAACACACACTGATCCTGTTTACCCCATACTTCTCTCTCAACCCACTTCTATCCCCTCTAATTTGGATGGGTTTTGTGTGTGAGTGTATGGGTGGTATGTATACACACACACACACACACACACACGTTCATGAGGGAGGGTGCACATGCATGTATGTATGATTGTGAGGCCAGAGATCAACTTCAGATGTTTTTCTCTATTGGCGTGAACATGTGCATGTCATGAAATGCTAACAGAGAGGGAGCAAGACATTCAGGAGGACAGGTAAATGCCACACAAGTCATGTGGCAACACAGATGAATAGAAATGGATTAATTTAAGTCATAAGAGCTAGGGGACAAGCTAGTTGGTAGTGTCGCACGCCTTTAATCCCAGCACCTGGGAAGCAGAGGTAGGCAGATTTCTGTGAGTTCGAGGCTAGCCTGGTCTACAAGAGCTAGTTCTAGGACAGGCTCCAAAGCCACAGAGAAACCCTGTCTCGAGAAACCAAAAAATAAAAATAAAAAATTAAAAAAAAGAGCTAGGGATAAGCTTTCGTAATTAATAATAAGTCTCTGTGTCATTACTGAGGACCCAACAGTCCCAACCAAAATGTCTGATTCCATGTGAGTCCCACAATCAAATTCAGGTTATTTATCATCAGGCTTGGCAGCAAGCGTCTCTCACACTAAGATATCTTACTGCCCTCCACCTTGTCTTTTGAGACAGGGTTCTCAATGAACATGGAGCTCTCCAACGAGGCTGGCTAGCCAATGAACTCCAGGGATCTTCTGGTCTTGTCTCTCCAGCACTGGGATTCCAGATTCAACGTGCCCACCCTTGTTTTGTTTTGTTTTGTTTTACATATGTGTTAGGGGTCTAAATTAAAATCCTTTTGTTTGTATAGCAAACATTTTATCAACTGAGCCATTTTCCCAGTTCTTTAGATGGGTTTTTGTAATACTAAGTCATGCATAACTAATTAAATAATGTGGTAGTTTGAATGTGAGTGACCTCCATAGTTTCATATATTTGTATGCTTAGTCACCAGGGACTCTTTGAAAAGATTACAAGGATTAGGAGGTGTGGCCTTGATGGAGGAAGTGTGTCACTGTATGTGGGCTTTGAGGTATCAAATGCCCACACCAGACTCAGTCCCTCTGTCTCTCTGTCTCTCTCTGTCTCTGTCTCTGTCTCTGTCTCTGTCTCTCTCTCTCTCTCTTTCACTGCCCCTTCGTGGATCAAGATGTAGCTCTCAGCTACTGCTCCAGTACTTTGTGGGCTGCTATATTCCCTGCCATGAAGATAATAGACTAACCCTCTGAAAATGTAAGCCAGACCCAAGTTAAATGCTTTCCTTCCTAGGGCTGCCATTGTCACAGTGTTTCTTCACAGCAGTATAACAGTGACTAAGCCATATAACATACATAACAGATTTTGATAAAAATATTCATCATCAAAGTTCTATTCAAGCTACTTCTGTTAAGCAGATGCATCGTAACCAAGGACTAATATTTAATGACTGTAAACAGAAAGCTGTACTTTCATTTCCCAGCCTCCCAGACCTGAATAATCACACAAACTATACTAATTATAACACTGTTTGGCCAACGGCTCAGGCATATTTCTAGCTAGCTCTTACATCTTAAATCAACCCATTTCTATTATTTTCTATTTTACTGTGAGGTTCATGGTTTGTTACCTCATATCTTGCTTCTTGGGCAGCTACACAGCATCTTCCTGACTCTGCATTCTTTCTCTCTGCATTCAGTTTAGTTTTCCTACCTAGCTATATTCTACCCTGCCATAGGCTAAATAAAGCAGCTTCTTTATTAACCAATGGTAATAAAACATTTATAGCACAGAGAGGAATCTCACATCAAATGATTGTATTGAAATATTTACTTACAGTCTTTCATTTGTACCTGTCATTAGATAAGGACAGTGGGAAGCTGGCAAGATGGCTAAGCAGTTAAGAGCATTTGCTCCTTTCCAGAGGATCCAAGTTTTATTCCAGTATTTGGGTAGCTCTTAAGTGTCTATAACTCCAGCTCCAGGGAATCTAATGTCTTCTGGCTTCTGCAGATACCTACACATATATGTCAGACACAGAGACACATACATAAACTTTAAAACAAAAATCATTTAAAAACTTTCATACATATATATTTAATTAAAGGGGAATATATACATATATATTACTCAGTTTGGCAGTTAGCATATATTTAAATTTTTAACACATGTTAGAAATGTTTTAACATGTTACAGGATTAAAGTAATCTAAAAGTTAGCTAGAAAAATGTTATAATAAGTTTGAAGTATATTACTATTTCAGAATACATTCCGTTTGACAGAATCACATTTTTATCCTAAATTTGAACTGACATATTTGGAAATAGGAATTTTGGAAACTTCCCAGATATGTATTAAAATCATAGTTTGCTAAGTGAGTGAGAAGTCACAGGTTTGTGTAAAGAGAACACTGAGTGGCTGGAGGTGCCCTAGGTTCAATCCCCAGCTCCCACATGGCAGCCCACTACTGTTTGTAGCCCCAGTTCCAGAGGCTCCAATGCCCTCTTCTGACCTCTGCAGGCCCAAGGCATGCATGTGCAAAATGCTCATCACACATAAAACCACTGAGAATTATTTCTTTGAGAGGAATAAGGAGACACTCAAATAGTCTGTATTTCTTGTCAGTGCTGTGTCTGTTTTGCTCATATGAGAGTCTTTTATACCCTTTTTATATAATTTGAGAGATAGATGAGACAGAACTGGGCCATTGCTGTTCTGTTAAGCAATAAGTGCTTATAAGGAAAATAGAAAAATCACAAGATCCAATTAATGCCATAAGCTTGAATTTCACAAACTTTTTATTTTTTGAGACAGGGTCTCACGTTAACCCAGATTGGCTTGTTCAAACTTGGTCCTGTAGCCAAGGATGACCTTGAACTTCTGACCCTCCTTTCTCTACTTCCTAAGTGCTGGGATTACAGGCATTAAACAGGACAGTAGTTTTTATGTTGTATTCAAACAGGAAATTGAGTCCAGGGCTTCCTCTGCCTTCTATGCAGAAGCTCCACCAACTGAATAACATTCCCAGTTCTCCAAACTTAATAACAAATACTGGAGGCAGGTATGGTGGTCTCTATCCGTAATGCCAGCACCGAAGAGACTGGGGCAGAAGGCCCATGAACTATAGCCTGGCCTGGGTTATAAGGGAGACAAACAGAGCTCAAAACCACAACTAAAAGGTTACTCTGAGTCCAATAATACTGACTCCAGGAAATCGAGTCCCACCATCAGGTTCCCTTCTTGCCTCTAGAAGTTCACAAGAACGCAGAAGCCTTCGCATCTTCAGGTCAAAAGTATAGGCAATTCAAATATAATAAATTATCGTGATTGGTGGCAGTAGCACACACCTTTAGTCCCAGCACTCTGGGAGGCAGAAGCAGGAGGATCTCAAGGTCAGCCTTTTCTACAAAGTGAGTTCCGGGACAGCCAGAGCTGTTACACAGAGAAAACCTGTCTCGAAAAGTCAATCAATCAATAAAAAGAAAGTATCCTACTGCTTTCCAACTGATTAACATACATCTGACCATGCTTTGAGTATTTGTATTTGTGCATGTGTGTCTATGTACCCATGAATGCAGGTGT